GGACAGCTGTATTTACACTGAGATTAAAATACACACAGAGACGATTTACTTGCTGGATGGGCTAAATATAATTGAATATCCCAAGCATTATTTAGCATTATTTGTTTCCTATAGTGTCAGATTTTAATAATACAAAGAAATCCCATTAAAATACATTAAAGTTTATGGCTGGGATGTGACAAAATGTCAAAAAGTTTGAGGAGGCATCATTACAGAGCTCTTGTAAGACACTGCAGCTCTCTTTCTAGAGAGAAGATTTCCTTGTCTTCAGACTAAAGACAGGAAAATCTTGACCTCTTCACGCAGTTAACATTCTGAGGACTCATAGGAAACCATGTTTTGGAGTTTACAGCCGAGGGCTCTCCTTTTGCACTTGGTTGCCTCTTAACAACATAAAATAGTTCAATCAAGTGTCAAAGAAATCGCTGTAAGGAGATGAGATGGAGAAGAGAGAGATGAAACAGATCTTAAGGATCTCTTTTGATTCCGCCTTAACTATTTTGTATTCATATGAGAGAAATGGAGAGAGGAATAGGGACTGCTGAGGCTCTCTCATATGAATACAAAACAGTATTGCTGCAATCAGGAGTCCTGGGAGAAGTCTCCGAGTAGGTGTGTGTGTGTGTGCCTGAAGAAGATAAATAATTAAGAATGTGGGGTTGTGCATGGATGTGTGTGGTACGAGAGAGATACGACACGTAAAGCAAACGCAGTCTTGCAGCTGCCAGAATTCCTAAAACTAATTGAGATGGTGTGAAATCTCGCAGTGGGAGCAGACTGCATCAGTATGTGTGGCTGTGGCCCAGCAGACCATCAGGATGCAGACACATCCATGCAGAAAGCTTTGAAAGACACAACGGCCGACACATCTGAGCTGATTTGACACCTGACCAAGCCCAAACAGTGGTCAAAGCAGTCTTTTTCCAGTCCATTTACTGTGACGTCAATGATGCAATAACAAAGCAAGCTGTGCAATTCTGCAATTGTTCCAAAAGCAAGATACGGTGTGAAACAGTTGCTCCCTAAGACGAAAGCAGTGGTTAAGGGACGCAGGTATAAGTCTGGAAAGCATCATTGGTAGACCTTATGCATGTCATCACTGCCAAATTTAAATCATAATTATCAACATCTCTGATTAAGCTGATCCTGTTGTCCAAAGATGTTCAATGGACCTACAACTGCAAGCAGATGCAAACATGCATCAACATCTGAGACTCAAGGAAGAAAAAAGACTTATTAATGATAAAAGATAGTTTCCCAACTGAATCATCCTGAATGAACTGTATTTCTTTTACAAACTAATATAATTGTGGTACTGCTCAGTGAAAAAAAATAGTTAGGAAATAAGATCAACTATGGTTTACAGGTTTTGTCACTTGGATGTACCTCGGTTTATCAGTCAGAAAAAAAAAAAAAAAAAAAAACGGGCAAATCAGTAGACTGGTGCGAAACTGTGGTTTTATTTGCTGGTGGGAGAGTTACCACTCTGTTATTCAATGAATCACCGTAGTCCTCGACTTCTACAGTATCACAGTTTTTAGACGCATCGCTGATCCAACACAGCTGAATCAAGTGACTGAATTACCTCTTCAGCATGCCATCAAGTTTGGCAAGTGTCTGGTAATGACCTACTCATTAAATGAAGGTGTGTTAGACAAAGGTTCCACTGGAAACCTGCCAGTAGCCTGAGGACTAGGCTACTAGTCCTCAGGACTAGGGTGGAGGACTAGGGTTGGAGACCCCTGATTTTGAGATGAGGCATGTATTATTTATGCTAAACAATGGAATGAAAGATACACATTTACTTCAGGCCTATCCAGAAAGGAAATGGACTAATGATAATGGCTGATTTTCTACTTTTAACAGGTCTTGACTGGTGACCAACTGTATCGGAAACTAAAAAAAAAAAGAAAAAAAAAGAAAAAAAAAAAAAAAAAAAAAAAAAAAAATCTTTTTTTTAATCAGTGAGCACTATATGAAGACAAACTGACATCACTGATCTGTGTAGAAGCTGTTACTGAGAGGGAAACAAACTAAAAAGTTATGCATTTCCTACTTTAGTCAGGTGTTTAAACTGGCATCAGAGGAAATATAAGATGTAAGAAACTACTTTCTTGCCTGCTGGCTGTTCATTCTGATTGCCGTTATGGATAGCTCATCTGTTTTGTCTTTACATTGAATTGGCAAAGGAGCAAATTGACCCAGAGCCAACCTCAGATAACAGCAAGTCGGAACATATTTTAGTGCGGTGGCCCTGTTTAACCCTCAGTTTTTCAAGGAACACATGGGATTTGTAAATGTTGGCAGCCTTTTAGAAATCTAAATTAAGGTAAGGATCTTTATCCTCTAGGGAATACACAGAGAGACGGATGGTTATGTATAGTAATGTTAATCAAGCTAGTCACTAATATAGAATACTAAAGACTGCTTAAAATGTGAATGCATAATCACTTTTGATTTGAATGAGTAAAAAAACTGTTTTACAGCAAGCAGTGTGCCACCAACTCTTCTCTTAATCATGTGTAATGACCACTCACAGCAGAAGTGCCAGGAAGATGTACTCTGAATGTTGTTTAATTATAGTTCTTAAAGGGAAATGCATATCTGTTAGAAAAACTGGTGCAGGCAGGTTAAAACTTTATAAAATTAAGAGATCAGATATCAGTCTCAATTCTCCAATCAGTTCATATCTTTTTTGCTTTTATAAGTATATTATTACTTTAAAGGAAAGGACAGCTATTTTAAAAAGGAAAACAAAACAGATATCAGTTTTTATGTGAGCACTTAATACCTGATTGTTCTGTATGATATAATATACATCCTGGGTCTCTAATTTGTGCAGCAGTAACCAGTGGATTTTAGATCAGTAAAATGGCTCATTGCCTGCCTCATCAGCACCATTTTATTATGTTTGCATTATCGCTGTCTGCAAGTCTTCCACACTCCTCTGTCTCTCTCTATTCTCCCATCAATACGTTTTGACAAATATGTCATTAGGGTTTTCAGTTGCCTGCAGTCACAATACCAATGCCTTCACATAACCGCCACGGTTTTACGTGAAAGAAGTGTTTCTCAGAACTGTGAGCTTTGCCTGCAATCTTGAGCTGCAGCCCTTAATGCGTAAGGAATCCTAGTGCTGATGCATTGCAGATTATTTTCAATTATAAATGGCATGCGTAGGATCAAAGAACGAGGCATATGAAGAACACTTGGAGAAACGAAACAGGCCCAGCTGAAGTGAATGCACGACTCAATCTAAATCCGAGAGAACAGGAATTTGAAAATAAATAAATGCATTTAACAGGAGACTGTAAAGTAGGGGTTTTGATTGTTCCTGATAATATTAACTCAAGTTTAAATGCTAAAAAAGAATAGAATGTAGAATGAATGCAAATAAGCTAAACATTTACAACTGCATATGTCTGTACGTGGAAGCAAATATCAACTGAACCTGCATTGGAAACAAATCAATGAAGATAACCAAGTGGAAAAGTCTGTGTATATAATTTGTAAAATTATGCCATAATGATTCATTTATTTCTTTTTAAATTTGATGTACAGGTATCTAGTCATAAATGACCAAATAACATACAATATAAAAATCCCAAATATGACCATAATGTACTAAAATAATGGAAGAAAAGGATCTTCAGGAAAAATCAGTTCAGCTCATGGGACAATACTGCAGGTTCTCAATTTGCATGTATTGAAATATTTGATGGTATTCTCCTTTAATAAATCTGCTCTGATTTATTGGAGGAGAAAAGCACAGCATGGACGTATATGTACTTTTAAAACCATTACATTATTATTCACGCTTTATCAAATGATAGTCTAAATCCAGAAGTTGACTTAGAAGTTGATCTGAATCAACTTCTGGATTGAGAGCTGCAGATTTAAGTGGCCAATAATCATGAGAAGGCCTCAAAGTCTTCATCCACACCATCATTATTATAGCAATGTGCAACAGTGGCATATCACTTTTGCTAAAACGTAAAGACTTATAGTATTTCATATGCATATTTATGGTAAAAAAGTAAGCATGCTCCGTTTCAAATGCAAGTTTTTACATATCAGAATAAATTCTTATACTCTCATGATCATGTGATAAATTCAGGTGTTGACAGCTTTGGGTTACCTGGACCATTTCACCCTCTACAAGACTCAGTTGGGATGTACAATGTTAACGCCTAGGAGACCTCAGTAAGAAAAAAGGCTGAAAAAGATTTTTTGTAAGGATTGTCAAGGGAAAGTCTTGTCTCCTTTGAAAGAACAAAGGCTTCCAGAACACTCCTCTTAAAAATGAGACCAAAGTGGAGAGCTTATGTTATAGTACAAAAGAAAAGTACATCCAACAAGCAAAGCATCATCACAAAAACCTCTGAGTTTTTATTGCATTTTAACCCATTTAAAGGAGTTGAGAAGACAGAAGTGACAGAGAAACAAGAAATGTGCCGACTCTTCTACTAGAGTACTTCTGTATTCTAGTAGAAGAGTCGACACATTTCTTGTTTCTCGTTGTCACAGTCTTGCAGGCTAAAAATTCAAAATACGCCCAAAACAAAAGTAAATAAATGAGGACGAAGGAAAAGACAGTCAAAGTCCCAAGTTTAGTCACACTGAAATGCTATTTAACTGTCTATATAAAGCTTAAGGAAACATTCAATAATTGGAATCACTGTTGAGCACAAATCTATGTTTCCACTATCTCAAAGGTGAGAGAACAGTCAGGTAAGAGAGAGGATCTTACAACTATTCATGTGGCACTAATTGGTATTGAAGATGTCAAAAAAAGTAAAAAAAATTGGGGGTATGTGTATTCGTGTAGAGCAGCTATAATTAGATGCACTTGTAATGCATCCAAGTTTTACATTTGCATCAATCGATTCAGGTCCGCTCAAAAACAATATGGATGTTACATTTATTGAAGTTTCATAGGGCTCTTCATCTGCTTTCATTCCTGGTCCAGAACAACTACTTTAGTAAGTAGCACCTCCTATTGTTTATTAAGAGTACTGCAGCAGTTTAATTCACTAACTACACTGTTAAATATTCCTTAAGAAAGCTTAAGGTATGCCATGTAGGATTACGGTAATAACCAGTATCCCATTTTATGTGTAGTATCCTGAAGTGCCACAACAGCTCTTAAACCAACAGCCGTAGCGACAGTCATATTATTTATTGATTTATGTTTTTGCACTAAAGCGTTCCCTGTTTTAGACAAACACAGTAAAACTGTATGGTACCATTTTTCTGAAATGGAAGAGTTTCAACCACAAACTCATTATGGAACATATAAACTGGGACCCAGATGATGTTCTTTTTTACATGGTATGAAACCTGGAGGTGATTTTTCCTCTCTTACTCGTTTCTGTCTTGGATACTGGCCAACAAAAACTGGCTGAAGATTGATTGCACAGCAGTGTGTGAGCGTGATGGACACCACTGCAAAAAGGGATGGGGAGACTAAACAAAACTAAAGATATATGGCGAAGGAGTACAATTAAAAAAGGGGAACAATGTAATCGGAAAACAAAAGTCAACAAAGAGAAAGCCAAGGTTCAGACCTGATGGTGCTTCCTGGAGCAGCTTCGATGGTCCAAACACAGTGCAAGTTGTGCTCGTATGGAGCCGGGTATCCTGGAGACAGAATACGACCGGAAGGCTCCTCCTTGATGGTGCCCCCACACTCCACTAAAAGCAGAACAAAAGGCAGAAAAAAAAAATCAACGAGTTAAAAAGAGATGAATAAATGTTGCAGAAATATCAGTTAAAATGAGGAAAAACTACAGCTCCCACTTGGAAGAAATCACACACAATCCGTTTTTTTTTTTCTTTTTCTTATTGACACAGTAGTCTGCAATACAAATGTGACGCTCTCTATATGCTTGTCTGCGGTTTGAGTGATGGGGTGCCAAGCAATCAGTTCAATAAACACTGTGTGGTTCCAGCACAAAGAAAGTAAACCGCTGTTACAAGCCTGGCCTCGTTCTGTTGCATTCTGAAAGCTAAAGGACAGAGGGGACAGCATGTTTATTTTGTCCCAAGCTTAAAATCGGAATTTGCTATCGGAAAGCAGCGATAGACAAGGAATTTTCAGAGTACCAAGCAAAAGCTGACCTTCTCACATATGTTAATGTAAAACAGTTGATGAAATGTTAACCTAAAATACCCCCTGCTTAGGTTCAGCTCCTTAGAGAAGCTGAAACACTTTCAGTTGATGTCTTGTCAGCTATTTTCTTTTTTTTTTTTTTACAAAGCTTTAAGGAAAACCACAACTTGGGTAACTCATATCTGGCACCGATTAATTTTTTGGAAGGTAAATGGGAAGCTTAGGATGTATCAAATGAGATGATGTTGAACAAAACCATTACTTCAGTGGGTGGATGTGCCAGAAGTTTCTCCAGATGAACAGAAACAAAACTGAAGTTACCATCTTTGGAAGAATGATCACTGCTTCAGTTATTACAGCTAGAAACTATTAATCAGGTCCGAAATCTGGGTGTGGTGATGGACTTAAACCTGAACCTTCAAAGACCCATCAAAACGATTACAAAGTTGGTCTTCTATCACCTGAAGAACTACGATTAACAAACTAATGTCTAGACTGGGTCATTGCTAAATCTAGAATATTGTGCAAGACTTAGAAATGTCATTTTTTGTACTTTACAAAGTAAAAATTATTTACATTGCTTCACAAAGAGTAAGACAGACATAAAAGGTCAGATTTCAACAGACTTTAGGTCAGCACAGAGGTTTACTTTCCAGAAGCACAACAAGCCTAAAAATATGTCCGGCACTACAATGGTGTCATTTAGAAGAAAGCATACTAACATATGTATTAAAGAGAGCCAGAACCCAAACTAGGTCACCTGTTGCTTTCCATATTACTCAGTCTCAATGTCTGAGATTGAGCAATGTAGAAAAATAAACTAAACTGGAAGAGACGTACTGCCAAAGACTTACAGCAGTAACTGCAGCCAACGGTGGTTCTGCAAATTATTGACCGGGGGGGGGGGGGGGGGGCCTTCATTTTGAAATTACACCATCTCCAAAATGTGCCCCAAACATTTTATAA